CAAATATGTTTCAAAATTAACCATTCGCAGTGTATTGCAATAAATCTGGCTTGTTCAAGATATCTGGGTTATGGTATTTTTCACCATTCATTTATATGAGTTGCAAAATTTCTATACACATTGCTCGAAAAGAGAAGGGAGTTTCTCTTGGTGTCTTGTATAACAATATTGGTCATTCACGTCATGGCTGTTTGTGGGACATTGCTGTGTGAAAACATTGCTATCTACTGTTGAATCAACAAGACCGAAGACCTCCTGATTGGCCCCCGTCAGCGACTCCGCACCTCAACCTGAGAGCATCACCATCCAAGGAAACACTCTCCACCTCAATGAGCCAGTCCGGAATCTTGACATCTTGTTTGACCCTCAACTGTCCTTTCTACCTCACATCCGTGCCAGGACCCGCTCTGCTTTCCCCCACCTCCGTAACATCGCTCGGGTCCGCCTCTGTCTCACACTGCAGGCCACCAAGAGCCTCAAATACAAATTCTTACATCCAGGCTCGACTACGCAAACTCACTGCTTGTCGGCCTCCCCAACTCCTCCCTCCATAGGCTGCAGATCAGCCAGAACTCTGCAGCCCATGTCCTCTCCCGCACCAGACTCTGCGACCCTATCACTGTCATCCTTGCCCAACTTAGATCATTAAATGTCTTTTTTCACCATTCACACATGCTCTGTTTTTTTTAACCATTCCCTCATCTTCTTGATTATACAGCTGCAAGGACCAGCAGCTCTCTTCTCAGCTTTAAATTTGGCCTTTGAAGTAAGGCCTTTGACCACATTTAAAAGGTGCTCAAAACAGTCCAGGCAGGAATCCATCACAAATCATACTTCCTCCCCATAAAAGTACCAAACTTCAGTTTAGTGCTTTCTCAAGTCCATGCACATTAACCACTGTAAACATGTGCAAATGCCTGACCAGTACATGACTCTGACAACGTATGTGCCATTGAATCACAGGTAACGTTTAATGCTTTATAAAGATAAGGTTAAACCAGCATACTGCTGAATGATATTGAAATCAACACTCTCCACCCAACTATTATTCCAGAGTTTGGGAATGGGGATTCACATCAATGGCCAGTCTCTAGTTATTGAGTACAATTTTTGATAATGTTTGACAATGTAGCAACTAACTCTGGTGACTATTTTCATATTATGTTGCTCTTTGTACCACATGATATTCCATGGAAAGAAAGCAAAGGTTGAGGTGAAAATAGTCTACCATATGACAGAGTGCTCAAAGGTCTACATTGTTCAATTTATTGGCCGCAGAAACGTTCTGCACTGTTTGGTCCATAACAATCCACTCAACAGCTCATTAAAATCATTTAAAATGATAGTTTATTGACTGAAACTGGCAATGACTCCACTAATGTTATAAAAACGTGTATTGTGCTGCATTAATTCCATCTTTGACAGATACAATTTAATTAGCTCTTTAGGAATGTTCTCAGTTGATAAAAGTAATCATTGGTGTTGAAGCCAATTAGCATAATGCATAGATACAAGGATCCTTGTTTCCACTAAAATCAGCTTAATATTGTATTTAGTTAAACACATCCAATATATCATTGATATTCTATTCACCAACTGTTGTTGAAGAAAGATTGAGAAGAGCTTCTTAAACTCAACCAGGTTTAGGGCCATGTAAATGATCTCGTGCCAAACATATATCTTAGTATTACCTGTCTATAAAGCCACAGAAATAATTGACACAATAAGTGGATATTTGATTTATTGTACTAGTTTCTGTTCCTGATGTGTTCCTGGCCCGATACAAATGTAATTTGTTGTTGTTGTTCCTTCAATGAAGCCATCTGGAATAGAACCCCTTATAATGCAACGGTTGGGATCCATAAAATCTCAGCCTGAATTACAATGGGACTGTGGTAGCTGGACTTACTGAACATGCCGGTTCCCGTACATTAAATAAACGCTGACTTTTGAATCATTAGTTTATCACTAGTGTCCTGTGTGCTGTTCATGCACAGTGCAGAAGTAAAGTAGGCGGCAATCTTATGATCTGAAAATCGGCTATTTTTACCATGCGGGAAGCCCAAAATGGCAACTTCCATGACATGAGGTAACCACGAAAGTCATTTCTTGTGGCTCCTCATGCAAGAGGAACCAGTTGGGACTGCTACAAGCAAACCCACCTTATAACAAATCGCATTATAATGGGGATTCTAATTAACAACTCTTTCTCCATAATACCATTTTTTCACTTATGCTAATCTAATTCCCTTTTAAATGGCCCTTCTGAGTCTAAAACTTCTGCATTTCTGTTCAGAATGCTTCCACCAGGGAAATCTTCATTTATCAGTTTGTCACCTGATACTTGTTATTTCCAAAGCTAAGAAATAATAGAAATATATAGAGTATACAGTGTAGAAACAGGCGCTTTGACCCAATGTTTCCCTGCCAGTATTTATATTCCACACGAGCCTCCATCTATCCTAATCTATTCCAACTGAACTACGACAGTGGACCTGATGGGAACACACAAAAATGCTAACATTAAACTTTTAGCGGTTTATTTGATAGTTTGATGTTTTACAGAAGGAGTATATATGGTACATGAAACTGTAAACAACCACAGAAGTGTTTGAGTTTCAAACCATAAATATTAAGTGACAGCTGTCAATCGAGATCAACTCAACCACGATCTGAGACCATTACAAGTTGTGTTGGTGAGGAAGTTGGTGGGACACTAGCTTGTAAAGCCTTTGGAGGGACAGAAGTTGGACTCCACTTTGTTCAGCCAGAACTGTATCACTGCAGTTTTGCCTTCTTTATAGACACACCTGACGAGCTAATGAGTTTGAAAGGACAGAGTTCGAAAGGCCAGCACTTGCAAAGCAAATACACCATATTAAATGAAAATTCTGGGACATACATGAAATTTGTTTAAAAAATCATTAAAAAATTCACCATCCCAAAGACTGTCAAATTTTTCATTTTTTGTTTTGCTTTCTACCCTTTTGTTGGCTTTTTCAGCCTTTTCTCAGCTTATAGCTGTTTTTTTCCCCAATCAATTGCCGAGACAGGATTGTATCAGAAAAGTGATCCTGTCTTCTCCATCCTACAAAAATGAACATAAGTCAAAGGTGTGTCACCTTGATAAGTTACATTGAAGATTAATTTTGCCTAAAAGCATATTTAAGTGTATCTTGCAAAGTACTTTGCTTCAATGCCCTCCCAAGATGAAGTGCACCAAGTGAAATGCAATGATTATTATTATTATTATATAATTATTAGATATTATTTAAGTGCTCCAAGACATCACCCTGCATGAAGGGAGCTACATAAATGCAAGATGTTGTTGTAGAAACAATGTAAATCACCATTCGCAAGACATAGCTCGTAAAATGTTCCTAATGTTATCCACAATGAGGCAACTAAAGTCTTTCATATTTGTTCTACATGAGCAACAGAATGGGAAGACTTGAAACCTTTTGTGGTATCCATAATAGCTGATAGCTTTCTCAAATGTTTTCAGGACAAACAGTTGTTGTGGAGCCTCTCTAGACATTATTAAAAATGGTCACTAATGGTCCTTTTTAATGAAGCAAGACTAATTAGTATTTTGAATGGGTTTGCAAGTGGAGCATAAACACCCAGTGAATTTGTTCCCTAGTATTTAGACTTTAGGCTCAGCCTGGATTATGCTCTGGAGCTCAGTTGGCCAATTCCATTGATATTGCAGAGAATAGATAATACCTGCGTTCCTACCAGCACTATTATCATCTATAGTTATTCCTCACCAACCTAGAGTGCAGATATCGAGCTCTCCGCTATATTATTATCAAACTATGTTTGATGTGATAATTATCATTAATGAACCATTATGAAATGCCACATTTAATCGTTTTCTTTGAACATTATCTCACACCACACAATAAATGGATATTTTTACTGCCATATGCATAGCCAATACCTGTAGTAGAGGAATGAAAGCTTGCAGCATCTACTTATATATCTCTTGTCTCCCTGAATTCTGTGTAAAGACACTTATTGGTTTGCACAGAGCTTTGTCACACCACGTCTGAACTCTGGTTCAATGTAATGTTAGAAAATAACTGTTCATATGAAGTGTTGATATGAAATCTAAGAGGCATGATGCTATCTCCAAGAGTTGCTCTTTTCCAAATAAAAATCAGACACATAGAGATCCAGCAAACACAACAGCTGTGATGTGAAACCTGCTAAACAGTAGCTTCCTGCACAGAAAAGACATTGAAGCCTTAAATGCAGCAATTTCAAATGGGATTTCTTAACAGAGACTGTGGATCATAAAGGGAGAGTGCTTCCAATAATCGGACACCAGTCACATATACTCAGACAATCTACTTTGAAGTCTTTGGGACTTTGGGACGTCCTCCCGACGTGAAAGGCGCTCAATAAATGGAATCTTGTTGTTTGAAGTCGAGCGACTCCTGGTAACTTGGAAGGTCCTTATTTAGAAAGCCCATTTGAAATTGCCATCTTTTAGACCCCACTTGAAAAATAAATATCTGCCTATCTTTCTTTATATTGTGTGATTACTCTCCCTAACAGTCAATAACGGTGCACAACAAAACATTTTATGTGCAATCATCACCAACCCCCAGCATGAAACCTTTCTGAAACTGCAAGATTGAACCTGAGCCCATTTCACCCACGTTGAGAGAGAAAATTACACAAAAATGTTTTAGAAGGTTTTGTATATCACAAAACCTCAGCATTACCTAGCTTCCGACAGTGGTATAATCGATTCTAACAAATGCTCTTGTAGCAAATCTAGACACCCTACAAATAATATTATTTGAAAGTCATGCAGTATATAGACAGATTAAGAAAATGTATATGTGGGCAGCATCTTAACAAGCTGGGTACATGCTTTACTATACTTGCATGCTATACTTTGAATTGTATCAGTAAGAATATTGATGCATTTCTGAGCTCAATGTATTTCTCAGAATAGAGAATTGGCAAGGTTCAAAGAATAATTTTACCTCATCAAAGCGTGCTTCATCTTCACAGTTTTCCAGAACTCTTGTGTAAAATGAAAGCCCTTGAGATTTAAAAAAAAGATTAAGTCAGTCAAGAGAGAGCACTGCAACGGAATTATAAAACATTTCACAAACTCAGATTATAGAGGAATTAAGTTATTGGAACAGCAAAAATTATGGCTTTTGAGCAGTGAACCATACTAATTTTCCCAAAGTAACTTTTAATTGTTTGTTATTGTTCTATATATTGGTTATTGTAATTGAATTTTATCAGTTTAAATAATGGATACCTGAATATTGGCTACTTTGTAATACAGGTTGGTGTTTCCTTAAATTAAGTCTTAATTTATAAGACAGTTTTATTTTTAAGTACTGTGAAAACCTAGCTTCCAAATAAAACTGAATGAAATAATTTTACGCATTTCTGAGAGATATTAAATTTTAAGACTATATGGTCTTGTGCACTAACACCAGGTAAAATGTTTTATGTAACACTTCACCAGAGGGACTGGCTGATTGAAAGAGAGTGGGGAGACTCTTCCTACCCCTCCTACTATAGATCTGTTTCTGTACCATCTGAAAGAGAAATAAGACATATTGTCTTCAGATCACTCACCTCTGAAGAAAATCTAATCATCAATTAATGAAGGCCTCTTAGGAGGTCTGTATGTACCAAAAGGAAGCACAATTGGGACAAGGAACAGCTTTAAACATGCTCAATTTATTTTATAGCTGTTGAGATATATAATTTGAACCAATGTCTTAATTAGTTAAATAGGTTGGATAAAAACAGCAGTGATGTAATCTGTTTACAGGGAGACTTCGTTCAAACATAAAAAAAACTGACCAATTAAAGACCATCAAGCTTGATCTTTCCATTCTATTGTGAAGTTTGCTCAACTCATGGTATCTCTTGAGAAAAAGCATATGAAGTAAAGCTCTATAACCTGTACTGAACTGAACATTCCTCCCCATGTTAATTCTCAATTATTTGCATTTTTGGCATCACATCTGTTTGCTCCCAGAAGCTTAGTAACCATTTTGTTTCACCAAGTGTTCAGTGATCTTATCAGCACATATTCTTGTATCCTTGAACCCAAACATTTTTGGTGCTAAATGACACAGGATCAATTCTTTTACCTCAGGTCTATTCCATATATCCATAAATCTTGGGGGATGTATCAAGCCTATCTTGAGACTGGAAACTTATCCCCATGTTCATTATTTCTGGGCTCATAGTTAAGTTGATAACGTGCTAGCGTCTATGCTATCCATTTCCCTCAACTTTGCAAAAACCTGTAGCATACACACTCTAAATCTTTTTCCAATAAAATTGTATTGCTCAGCCTGTTAATATAGTGCGTAACCTTCTAATATTTAAAATGAGCACAATATCAAGAACAGTAATGAATATTTTGTATTTGAAATGATCAATTCAAAAGCCAGAAATATTGATAGACATAACTAGCATTTGTTGAGCATTTAGTTTGCCACCGGTATCACATGCTGTATTTACGCTGCTGGGAGCAAAGCAATATCATTCCCAGCAGTGGTCCATATGGAGCTAAAATTAACTATAAACGTCCTGCTCTGTACTTCTTTGTATTAAGGGCAGATAAAACACTAAACCCAATTTTAGGAATTGGTTTTAGAACAGAGATTGGGATTAGAACCTAACTCTTGGCTATGATTTGCCCATTTGTAATGAATCCCTCTACTAAAGGGAAGAGATATCCAATTTTGTTATTTGAAATACGTCAATTGAATCACGCCTTACCCCCTCTGTTCACTCCTCTGATCTAAGGAATATAATGCTACTCTACCAAGTCTCTCACTGCAGCTACCACCTTCAGACAAATCTCATAAACTGTACTGGACACCCGCTAAGGCTAGTATATCTTTCCTGTGATTGGTTGTCCATTACTCAACACAGTACACCAAATGAGGTTAACCAACTCTATAACTGGAGCCCAACCTCTGTACTTTATATTCCAGATCTCTTATTATAACTGCCAGCATCCCACATTAATCTGATGTATTGCTTGAAGATTGGGGTCAAGGATTGAACTCTGCCCATACAAGTCTGATCTGATAGTTAATCATTTTAATCATGTGTATTCTAAGCTTCAGTTGTTGAAAGCTTATATAATAGTCAAGACAAAAATCAGTCATGTGAACTACACAAAAAAAACTCCAGATATTTACCAGCTGTCTGTCTGACAAGACCTTGTTGTGCCACGAACACGTTATCCAGAAACAACACAGGCAGGTTACTCTAGGATCCAATAAGAGCTACATTTCAGGCTTTGTTTGGTTAACTGGATGTCCAACACATGTGGAAAGCCAGCATCATTCAAACCAGACTAACAATTCCTATCAACATGTGTAAATTTGTCTGCATTCGGAATGGAATGTACAATCTTTTGCTGGAGGAACACACTCTGTTTACCTGATTCTGGAGAGTATAAGGCACAGATTGGTGAGAGCCAACCCAGAGCTCGGATAATCCAAAATCTGATTTGGAGTACTGCTTGACCAGCTAACACCAAATAGCTTTCCATTGAGAGCACTGTCTGGCTAGCTTTCCACTGCTTGTCCAGCTAGGGTAGTTTTGACTCTAAGGTTAGCTGTAGCTTGCTGGATTAACAAGAGCTGAGTTGGAAGACTGCCACAGAATGAACTCCTTCCCTTGCCCCTTTGTCTCACCTTCTCTATCTTTAAACCCTGCCTAACTTTTTGACTGCCATAATAATATAATAATAATCCTTGCATTTGATATAGCGCTTTTCATGTCTTCTAGACGTCCGAAAGCGCTTCACAGAATATACTGTAAAGTGAATTGACTGTATATTTGTGGGCGAACGCGGCAGCCAATTGCGCACATCAATGTCCCACAAACAGTCGTAGGTTGAAAATGACCAATTTATTATTGTTTTTTGTTTTGGAGGGATTATTATTAGGCGTGTGGAGTAAGGAAACTTGCTCAAGGTTTCGCCCTGCCTGGAATTGAACTCAAGTCTCTCGCTTACAAAGCGAGTACTCTAACCACTGAGCTACAATGATAACCTCCCTTTCCCCTGAAGAAACCATGTGTCCAGACAGTTTTATCCATCCATTGTGTCTGAAGTGAGGCTAGAGTTAATGAGGCTCATTTGTACTGATAGGGTAGTGTAAGGGCACACCCAGTGAATTTTACTTTATTTTAGAGATATTTCCCCTCTCCCTTACACCTGTTCAGTTGAATTCACTATTGATTGGCCAACTAATAGGTGATACAGAATTTAGCAGAAACAATTACATTCTTAATTAAAATCAGAAAGGTCATTGACCTGAAATGTTAACTGGTTTTCATCTCTCCGTGGATGCTGCCTGACCTGCTGCATGTTCCCAGCGACCTCTGTGTTTCTACATTCTTAGTTAAAGATTTTCCTTGCCAGTTATAAGGTGCTTCGCATCTGCAGAAATTCTCCCTCGCAATTAAGGGCTCAATACACTATATAATCCTTGCATTTGATTTACCGCCTTATCATGTCTTCGAGATGTCTCCAAGCTCTTCACAGAATATACTGTAAAGTGAATTGACTGTATATTTTTTTGGCAAAACTACCACTAGTTTCCATCCGATATATTAATATTCCATGAAATTCAGCATTATTGCAAATACATCTGAATTTGAATGAGGATTTCAATGTTTAAGAGGGCATTAATCATAATGATGATATCCAATCTTTTCTCTTCCTAGAAAATAGTTCTTCCCACAGAGAGAAGTGAGAATGTGGAATGTCCCACTCTAAAAGATCAAATGTACAGATCTCAATTGAGATAATTTTTATATACTATGGAACAACAATAACTTGCATTTATATAGCACACCTCGTGCGGGGCAGCGTCCCAGAGTGCTTTACAGTGGCAGAGCAATTCGTGGAGCTGGGTGAGGTGGGCAATGTGGCGGAGGTCGTCCTGGTCAGGGACTGGATGTGGGGAAGGAAGGACAGCTGTGGGTATTACTATATTACTGCTATTACTCGCATTTACTGTATACTAAAGTAAATATCTCAGTTGATTCTGCACAGTCAACTCACTTTAGATGTCTCAAAGACATGATAGGGCGCTATATCAAATGCAAGGATTATTATTATTATTATGCATTCTAGGGTAGTAGAATCAAATACAATAATCCTTGCATTTGACCTGGTGTCTTTCATGTCAGGAGGATGCCTCATAGTGCTTCACAGGACTTAGTGATTGTATTTTAGCCAAACTTGGGAACTAGTTGGCAGATTAATGAAGTATTGAATATTAGAGGATATACGGAAGTGGGATTAAAATACCTACTATAAACTAACAAAATGTCAAAAAAGACTTGTAAGGTAGAATGTCCTACTTTTGTTCCTATGTTCTGTTGATCAGATACCCTTTTATTCATTGATCCTTTTACACAGAGGGATGTCAACAACAACAACAGCAAGATTTCATTTATAGAGCGCCTTTCACGTCGGGAGGACGTCCCAAGGCGCTGGACAGTTGGGTTGGGACCCAAGCAGGGGGGAAATAGTCAGGGTGAGGGGAGGGAAGGGAGAGAGCGAGGAGGGGGTAGAGAGTCGAGAGGGGAGCTGAAGGCACAGTCGAAGAGAAAGGTCTTGAGACCGGCCTTGAAGGAGGAAAGGGAGGAGGCAAGGCGAAGTTCCAGAGCCTAGGGGCTGAGAGGCTGAAGGCCCGGCCACCGATGGTAGGGCGGTTAGGGTGATAAACAGCGGAAACAAGTCACTAGAGAGGCGCGGTTGCAAGCATGAATAATGGACTCATTGACAATCAGCTTGATCATGTAATTGGACGATGGTAGGGTTGGTATTGTGGAGTTATGAGATCAAATGAATTGAAGGGCTTTCTTTAACCAATGAACCCACAACAAATGACAACAAAAATTATAAAATCCACCAAAATCTTTTATACATACCCAAAAGTAATACTGTACACAAAGACTTAGATTTATTTTCACAAACAATCACTGAACCAGACATAATATAAGATTACAGCACAATGGGCTTGGACGATGGTGAAA